GAGCACAGAGGGAGATATAGGAGATACAGTAAATTGCAAATCTATTTGCTTATCTTTAGGCCTTAGCCTGGGCAGAGCACTTTATCCCCAGCCGTCAATATTCCTATCCTTTTCACCTTCAAAAGGGTCAACATGCTTTTTAGATATTGGTCCTCCAATCAAAACATAAGGACCATTTTCATATTTGCCCAGTCTCGAGCGCCTCAAGTTCAAAATGCTACCTGCTACTGGTATAGACCAAGAATGGCACTGATATCTCCCCGGTAGTTTCAATATATAATCCACCACTCCCAAATCCCCTGCCAGCTCATATAAGTCATACCTCAGGTGCAGGCAAAAAAGGTGCGTCCTCGCCTCACAAATATGCATGGAAAGCAGCCGCTCTCCACAGGTTTTGAAGAATAAATACATTTTTATTGTTGGCCCATATGCACTATACACCGCAATCGTTGTGGTTAAATTGGAGATCTGGCTGCTTGCAATTAGGCCCACACCTGTATGAGGGGGTGCAATTTCCTTGTATAAAAACCTGATGTAAATGAATAGCTTCACCTCTATGACTAAGCTGAGTTGGTGAAACACGTAAAAGATTTTGTGATGTGAGGAAGTGATCTGCAGTGTACAGTGCGTATAGGCTAACAATAAAAATTAATTTATTCTTCAAAACCTGTGGAGTGCGGCTGCATTCCATGAACACATGTCCCCATTTGAGTGTGGCCACAGCCTCCACCCTCCATTTAATTTTTTTAATCAAAGTAATTAATTTTTTCTATTAAACCTATTAGTGTTAATCATTTTGTATGTTTTTTGTTTTTTCTAGCGGATGCTGATGCTTTTAGGATTCTGTGGGAAATGAAAATGAAGAAAAGACAGAAGCGCCCATCGCTTCCAGAAACTGTGACAGAACTTGGCACAGAGGATGGAAGCAAAGTGTACATTGTAGGCACTGCTCACTTTAGTGACAGCAGCAAGCAAGATGTGGTAAAGGTAATAGCCAAGCCAGCTTTTACACTGTTGGTCCTTTTTGTTGATTGATTCCAATTTGCATTCTGATAAGACATTTGATTATTCAGCAGTATATTGCTGTGACAGAACACAAGGTTAAGTGTAATCCGCAGGTGATCATGTAAAATGTGGTGTTTTCCTCAGATCTTAGGTGTAACTAGACAAACGTTTGCTGTATAAAATGTTGAAGGCTTATGTTTCTTTTTCAGACCATTCAGGAAGTACAGCCTGATGTTGTTGTGGTTGAGCTATGCCAGTATAGAGTATCCATGCTAAAGATGGATGAAGAGACCTTACTGAAAGAAGCCAAAGAAATCAATTTTGAGAAGCTTCACCAAGCTATTAAACAGGTATCTTCTTTTTTTTTTTTCTTTTTACTCCTTCTGCATTTTGCAGTGGTATTCGACTTTGCTTTACCAGTCTCTGTTCAATGTCATATATATATATATATATTATTATCATTATTATCATTATTATTATTATTATTATTATTATCATCATCATAAACATCACTAAAGTATGTCTGAAACTTCATCTGTATCTCTTAGAATAGATTTCATTTACCCAAAGAAAGCAGATCACCATAAATCTACTTATGAATTATTTTTTTTAGATGTATTGGCATGTGCAGTAATGCCTTTTTGAATTCTTTTAGTTACTTTTTTCTGTTCGTTCAGTATACCTTAATGGACATGTAGTGCCCATATGGGCTAAACTGACACAGTTGAGTGACGGGAGAGCAACAGTCTCAGGTCTGGTCACTGACATGCACTCTGGATTTGACCAGTTCATGCTGGCCAGTTAGGTCACCGTGATCCCTCTATAGCCAGTCCATTCACTATTATGGTAAATTTCAAAAACTTTACTAGCCGTATGCAGAGAAACCTCCTATGTTACATACGTATGCATACACATACATATAGAGAGATAATGTGTATAAGCTATTTGGATATGAGAACAGGCATTTTCTTCTGTTCGCCTTCATTAAACACAGGGTGTGCTGCAGACTTTGGGATCTTTGAAAGAGCAATTTTTACAGGTCTATTAGCTCTGTTATTAGTTTGGTGTTACTATAGTTCCGTATTCTGCTTCAAGGAAAACCACTAATTTTGCTGATGTAGTGTAAAAAAAATAATAATAATGATGGTGATGATTATCATTGGTAGTAGAAAATATATATATTTATTTCGCATCCATTGAGTCTTTAAGATTTGGGTTATACTGCTGCCTACAGGAGCATTAGACACTGGCAAACAAAATAAGTGTAGGCCAGCCCAGGATAACCTCTCCTACCAGCATAACTCTGCTTTTTGCAACTATCCAGCACAGCTGCCCTCAGCCTGATTTTGGAGTGATGCATCCAGACCCCTCTAGGTGAAGTGTCTTGTGCAATCTGTGCTCTCTTCCCTGTCATACTGCATCAAGGAACAATCTCCCCACTGCTGCTCCTGCTTGCAAACATTGCAAATAACCATTTTAAAACGTCAGTCTCCGATCCATTCCTGCTGTCCACTTACAGTGGACTTCAGTCACCTCCAAGTATCTAACCCTCACATGCTACCAGCTTTTCGGTTTACAAGAGTATCTGAGGCTTTGCCTCTTACCCTGAGCTGTGCATAGCCTTACCACACGTCTCATTCTAGACATAGGGGGGACAGCCCAGTTGTACCAGGTGCCCTCAGCTCTCTCTACTAACTGCTTTGGGTATGCTTGCAGCAGGCTTACTGATTGTGCCCTTGTCTGCAGCCTGAAATAATGTGCTCTGCTTCTGTCAGTCATTGGAGTTCTCTTTTTAGTTATGTCGGGGATGATTGGGTCCTCTGCTCTTTTTTAAATTAGATTTTTACTACAGTCAAGCAAGAGTTTGACATATCACCTAGTTGTTAGCTGACTGTCAAAATCCCTTAAGAAATCGTGGGACAGCTGAAGTTGATCTTTTGGTTTATATAATGTGTGGAGCAAATGGCTGTAGCTTTGTTTCAGTTGTGATGGGTCTATTTGAAACTCACTGGACTATCTCTCACATGGGTCTTGCGTTTATACACATGCAAAGGGAACTTTGGGTAAAGTGCTGGACTGCAAAAACCTTGTGTAAGAAGCTTTTGATCTGCTTGGCCTTTAAAGGGACATTGATTCTTGCTAGCATTAGCAAAGATGCTACTGGTTGCTAGAGAAGCCATCTTCCTCAGAAGAAGAGACATAGACTGCAAGTCTTTGCCCTCTCTGACCGTTAACCCCTTCATGACTGAGCTAGTTTTCAGGTTCTGTTCATAAATGACTGACACATTTTTTACATTTTTGCTGTGTGATTCTTCCACAGCAGTAATATACTTTCTTACTAAATGTACCCACACATATTATATATAGTTTTTTTAAGGACAGATAGGGCTATATAATTATATCACATATGTGTACCTAACCCCTCACTTAGTTTGAATAAAATAAAAAAAATGAGGAAAAAAACTAGAAGAAAACACTTTTTTCACAAGTTTTGATTATTATTATTTTTTTTTAGAATTTTTTATATTAATTATAGTATAAAAAATATATTTATAAATAATTTATATTTTCCTTATTTTGTTTTACACTTTATTTTTATTTTTTTACACTTTGTAAAAAAAAAAAAAAATTAAAAGTTTTTTTTTTCTTGTCAGTTTATATCAAGCAATCACTATGACAGCTTGATAAATTAACTTTTTTATTTTATTTTTGGCTATTAGGCTGATCCAAACTTAGGAACAGCTAATAATAACCTTAGAGACTGATCCTGACTTTAGTCAGATTCAGATCTCACTAAAAGCTCTTTGATCGTGCCTAGACGATCAGAAATGATACATTTCACTCAAAAGATATACATTGTATCTCTTGTATCTTTTGAGTGAAATGTATCTAAACATCAGGCTCTCAAGCTGTCAAAACAAATAGCAGAGAGGTGAGGTGAGTCACTGCTGCCTCTCTGCTATTTTGAGCTGTCAAATACGGGATCGCAAATTGAGGTCCTCTATTTGCATGTAACGGCTTCATTCTTTCATTAATGAAAGGAAGAAGCTTTTACAAAAAGCTTAATTATTTCATTAATTAATGCCTCCAATACTGAGACATTAATGAATGACTGTTAAATGCTGAGAATCAGCAAATACCGGCATTACAAAGCCTGATATAACTCGTCACGTACAGTGTACGTGGCCAGTCATATAGGCACAAAGTGACAGGACGTACACTATACGTCTCCCGTCACGAAGGGGTTAAGAAACAATTTCTTTATTTCTCCACTCCCTTGACATCATCTTCCCGAACCTCAAAGCCTTGTTTCCAGTCCACCCGCAAGGTCTCCCAAATCCTTAGACAAACCTTGCTCTGTATGCATGTATGCCCCCAATTTCCAGAGTGGGACAATATTTGTTAGCCTTTGTGGATGCTTGGACAACTTGCTACTTTGCTGCATGTGTTCGAGAGCTAATATTCCAGGGCTACAAACTGGAATTTCACTCCCTGTCCCCTCCTCAGTTACTCACCTCCCAACCTTCCTTTTGTCCCTGCACAGATTAGCAGTTCTCAATCAAACCCTCTTGGGTCTTCTGGACCGAGGTGCCATTGCCCCATTTTCTGTGGCAGAACAATTTCAAGGATTTTACTCCACTCTGTTCACTGTTCCCAAACACAAAGGTTCTGCCCTACCTTTTGATCTCTATAATGATCAGCATGAGATCCACCTGGTCTATTATTGCCTTCCTTTATGAGGGAAAGTTTCTGGCTTTTTGTGGATATCAAGGATGTATACCTGCGTGTCCCTATCTTTCTAGAGCATCATTATTTCCTAAATTTTGCTTTGGGGTCCCTACACTACCAGTTTGTGGCCTTGCCCTACGGCCTCTCATTTGCACCTCCCAGGTATTCACTGGCCCTGGGGTGCATTCTCATGGCAACCCCATTGTAGGATACTTAGCCGAACCTCCTGTTGAGGAAACGACTAGTGTGGGCTCTGCCTAGATGTTGTAGCAGTTCAGGTGCATCCTAAAACGTCAGAAATAGTCACTGGGGCTGACTCCTCATCATTAGGAGTACACTATCTAGGGCAGGGGTGGCAAACTCCGGCCCTCCAGCTGTTGTGGAACTACAAGTCCCTTGAGGCTTTGCAAGATTCTCACAGCCACGGGCACGACTCGCAGATGCATCATGGGATTTGTAGTTTCACCACAGCTGGAGGGCCTGAGTTTGCCACCCCTGATCTAGGGTCTAGTCCTGGACACAATTCAGGCCAGAGTGTTCCTTCCACAGGGAAAACTTCAGACTCTCCAATTTAAGAAATCGAGAATACCGTTTAGGAGTCAGACTCTGCTTTTTTTTTCTCAGAGACTTGGGCCTGATGTTTCTTCATTCCAGGTAGTTTTTTTTTTTTTTCTCTGTTTCACTCCAGATTTCTATAACACAGCATTCTTTCGCTGTGGGACAAGTCAGACCGTACCCATTCCGTTGTTTTTTTTCTTGGGCCTCTTAGCGGTTGGACTCTTAGCAGTTGGACTGCTTTTGAATGCCCTGAAGGTTAGACGTCCTGTGTATCTCAATGGATGAGAGAGAATATAGGATTTTTGTACTCCCTGTAAAAATCCTTTTCTTGGAGGATGGAACCTGTTCCACAATGGACTACGTGTTTATGATCATTATCTTGGTACTGCTTTGCTACCAAACTGAGGCATTCTGGCAGTAGTAGGGGTTATCCTGGGCTGGCCAACAGTTTGTGGGGTTTTTTTTGTTTTTTTTGGCTCACCAGTGTCTAATCCTTCTGTGGGTGGCAGTATAACAGGTTAGGTTCAATATTTCTCAAAGACTATTTGTAAGACTGAAGGTTCCATTTTATAGATAACCAGTTTTTTTGTCTTGGAGATTTATCTTTTCCTTTGTTCTTATGCCAGAATGGAGTTATGTCTGGTCTCATGCAAATTCTTCTGCTGAAAGTGTCTGCACACATCACAGAACAGCTGGGAATGGCTCCAGGTGGTGAGTTCAGAGAGGCCTTCAAAGAGGTGAGACATTTATTTCTCTGTTTGTAGCAAATGTGCATTTATATTTTTATAAGAATTCTGTAATGCATTTTATCAATGAAGACTCTATTGGTAACAGGACACAGAGTTGTATAGGCACCTGTGGAGGCAGTAAGCTAAACAAGCCTAGTGAGAGACTTATTCCTTCCTATAACTCTTTATAGCCCCCCATAACTCCCTGAATTTTATGACCCAATTGGACTCTGACTTCTTGTAGGTATCTTCCTGTTTAGCTCGCGATATACTGAGCTTTGGGTCATGGGAGGACACTAGTTTATGTCCTCCTAGTTTTCCTTTTAAACCATCAGCAATGGTTAACTACTTGTCTAATGTAGGGGGAAAGGAATGAGGAAAAAAAATACCCTTTTCCTCATTCCCCAGCAGCTGGCCCACTTTTCCGCTCTTTGCACTGTGGGCTCCCTGCATCCCTGTATGCAATGCAAGACCACTGGTCTTGCACTGTATGTAAAGACGTCTGCTTGGTAGCAACCAGTGACGTGTGGTTTCCTTGGACTGGATGTATGGTGACTACTATTTGACTACACTGTAGTGTAGTGAAATTTACAGACTCTGCAGGCCAACACCCTTGTTTCTTTTGGCGGTGTGTTACTTTTTTCTCATTCCATGTTTTTTTCATATAAAGACTAAGGCATTTTAAGATGAAACTAAATGCTCCTTCAAAAAATATTTTATCAAAATTCCCCCTTTAGTGCAGTTGCTAAAGAATTCATTCCATAAATGTCCTGTAAATAAGATATTTGAGGTGCTGGAATCTTACATCTGTGCATGTCGTAACTTTCGCTTCTTGTTTTGTGCACCCATGTTTGAGTTGCGTGTGCAAGTTCAAAAGTGATTTGGCCATTCATGCTACATTACCCATCAACCATAGTGTGAGAGAAGTAGCAACACAGATGGGATGGGGACATCAGTCACCTCATTCATTAATATGAGAAGGAGGCCACACGTAGAAAAATCATGTTATGCAAATTAGGGTATTTACGGTGGTCAGTCAGCACTTTGACTTGCAGTTTAGAGCAGGGCAAAACACCCCAATGCTCCTGTTAAAGGGCTGGTGTCATCCAGGGAAAGGATACAACTTCATAGTCTATCTATAGGTTTCTACTGCTTTTTCGGTTAGCTGCAACGAGGACTATACAAGGTTCCACTGTTTGAATTTTAAAGCCACTACAACTCCATTTAGCACAGTATTGTTGCTTTTGGATTAAGCTTATTAGTGTTTTCATTTACAGTTCAACTATGTGTTAACATGGTTGCCTGACAGTGTACGTTCTCCATTTGAAACTATATGCTGAATTTAGATATGGCAATGTAAAATATGTATCTGTAAAATGTAATTTTTTTTTTTTTTTTCAACAAACATTCATTGTGGAATTTGTGGTTTTTGTTTTAATGAACATATATATAATCATGTTCATTCCTTGAGACAATATTCTGTTGGACATCTTGCAGGCCAGCAAAGTGCCTTTTTGCAAGTTTCACCTTGGAGATAGACCTATTCCTGTAACATTCAAGAGAGCTATTGCTGCACTTTCATTCTGGCAAAAGGTCAAGCTTGCCTGGGGCTTGTGCTCCCTGTCGGACCCTATAAGGTAAGAAAATCTGTTCTCAAGGCCTGGCCCTCACCAACACACTTAACGCAGTTTTCAAATTCAGTTAAATTGTGCATATTTTATTTTTTTAATGTATTTTTACTTCAGTGAGGATGATGTGGAGAAATGTAAACAGAAGGATTTATTGGAACAGATGATGGCTGAAATGATCGGTGAATTTCCTGACCTCCATCGCACCATAGTCTCCGAGAGAGATATTTACCTAACCTATATGCTGAAGCAAGCTGCTAAAAAAACAGAAATACCGTGTGCCTCTGAGAGTAATTACATTTTTATAT